AGAAGGCAATGGGGAGAGATATATAAAACCCTGAAAGAAAAAAAACTGCCACCCAAGAATCCTCTACCCAGCAAAGCTGTCAATCAAATATGATGGTATAATCAAAACATTCCAGGATAAACAGAAGCTAAGGGATTTTGCCAAAGCCAATGCTGCTATGAAAAACATCCTAAAGGAAGTTCTGTGGACTGAGAACTAATATGAACAGACAACAACTACAGAATGACGTACATGGCAGCATCACCCTGAACTCAATCGACAAATGCAAGAGTCAAGAACAGAGGATCTGGGAGGTCTGTCTATGATCAAAACAATTACAATGTGAAAGAAGGTAAACACAGAGGAACAGAGATCCAGGTGGTGGGAAGGTCAGGTAGATTACAGGATAAAATAGACTGTCTTAAATGGAAGGTAGAACTAATGGAATATAAGGTAACCACAATGTGGTTGGGGTGGGGTGGTCTAGTTTGGGTGTTCGGGAGGGCAATACAACAAAGGGGGAGGAGGCAGAAGAACAAGATAGAACAAACCTGAGATAGGTTTGTATGGCCTAGTGGGACAGAGGTAAATTGTGATGCATACCAAACCTTGGAACAACAGGGCTCTGGGATACAGGAATCTAGGTATAGTTTGAAGAGGGGAAATAATACTAAAATGCTTGACTGCCTTATGAATATTAGTTTCCCTTGCCTACTATTGTAAAATAGACACTTGAGTGGGATAGAAAGGAATGTTGGGAAACATGATTACAGAAAACTTGTAAGCACATCTTCAGCCTATAACTGATTAGAATACCTAAAATGGGTTCTACATCTTGACCAGTGAAATAGGCCTTGTGCAAAGCCTTTACAGAGTAGAGGACCTTAGGTGGAATCCTGAGTCCCATCTAAGAACCTTATGAGGTGGGACATTCCCACTAGAAAGGACAAGCAGAGTGGAACAGCTACAATGACAGAAGATAGATCTTCAAAGAAAGATCATCAGGAAAACCTCAAAACAAAAATGTCAGCATGACTGTCTACTACAAGAATAAGCAAGCTGTTCGCCAGGAAAACAATCAAGGCTAGCAATCAAGTGCCTTCAGGACAAACTCCCCTCTAAGACTGAAACTCAAAGGGAATACACAAACAAGCATGTAAGCTTGCTGGCGATCACATTGGTCTACTGGTGAGTGGAAGAGGTAGAAAGGCATCAATGAAGAAATGGGCTGAGTTCAACCACAGTCCATTGAATCCCATTGACCTGGATATGAGAGAGAGAAGAGGAAGGGCTGGTTGGTCCAAAGTGTGGTGAGACATGAGGACACTTGAGCCCATGGACAAGGACTTTGCCACAGAGGGCTAGAGCTGAGAGTGAAGCATCCAGCTGATATGTAGTGAGGGGAGATGCACAAGAACACCCAAACTTGCAGACAAGTACCCTTTTGACCTAGCCTCAATGGCT